AATCTGTCACCTTTCTTCGGGTTGAACGGGATCGGGGAACTCTGGCTGAGTCGGCCGCCACTGGGTCCAAACAATCGGTTTTACGCCAGGCTTGAGCTTGATTTGTGGTCGTGCAGGCGTTGAGGTGGCAATCCAGCAGAGAGATCATCAGGAAAAATATTCAAATGCTTCCGAATAATCGTTGCCAAATTATCGGGGACAGCTGCACAGAGTTTGTCGATGTCGGTCAGATCTTCGACAGCCGTGGATGCGATCCATCGGACGCCATACAACTGTGCTCCGCGAATCATTGCCCTGATAGTCACAGCGCTGACTGTCGACATGGCGGAGTCTTGACTGCTCCACATGGGAAGTCGTCGCGACTTGCCACTCCACTTGATGCGACAATTGCCTGTCGCCAATCAATGCTCGGGTTGTATTCGCGTAGCCAATCGCGCCCTAGCAGCATGTCACACCCATTTAGGGTCATCGCAAGCATTTTCATCGTAAAGCTGAAATTTTTGCCACAGGTGACTCGCACATGAGGCACGCAATCCCGAATCGATAGTGGAGTGCCGTCAACCAACCTCGCGTTGATTTCAGGCATGCAGCGCTCAAGCTGCAATGGAAGATTCTTCGCTTTTGTCACATACATCAAACTGTGGCTCGCCCCGCCATCAACAAATATTTTAATTCGGGTGTCGCCAACCCTCCCTTCAACCAGCATAGGGTGATCAGCCGGTTCACCCCCCTTATTCAGCCAGGAATGGTCGATAGCCCAAATCAACACTATAACCTGATGGGGGTGGTGACGTTTGGGCGACGCTGTCAAGTCAGAAGGCGACCCATCAGCTACTGACTGTTCCCATTTCCCGACTGCCCACGCTGTTGATTGATGTGGGTTGGTGCTGACCTCGAAATAGTTTCCCTCCAGGAAACCCGCCCTCGCGAGTCCACTTTGCTCGTCCAGTGCGTCTACTATGCGAACAATTTTGTTGAAGGTCATCGGGGTGTGCAGGACGATCTCTTGCTGGATCTCTGGCTTGAGACCACCCACGTAGCGATCATTGTTTTCGTCGTCACTGAGGCTGCCGATTTGATCGCGGAGCGACAGGAACGATGTCGTGTACTCCTGGACAGATCCCAACTGACGCCACATCCGAAGCCTTGTGCGAGCGTTTTTGCGCATGGATACGTGCTCAAAGTGGCTTTTCAATGCATCACCCCACGCTTTCCACGTGCGGATCGTGGCCGACCCAAAGATCGGTTCTGCATGTGCCGTTGATGAGCCTTGCTCCCCATCTGCCGCTCGTTGATTCCCTGCCAGGGCTCCTCCCTCGTCCAAATGCATGCGCCACCAGTCGAGTGCCGGTCCCCTCAGCAGCGACACAACCAAGTTGACACATGAAGCGTTGTCATTAATACTTGCTGTTGTAAAGAAGATTTCCACGACAAACAGCCAACCGCTCACTGTAGTTGATTTGTCGGTCAGGTTGATTTGTCGGTCTGGCATAGGTGATTTGATTTTTATGGCCGCCCGCGGCTCGCTGTGGATTCCTTCAACTGCTTCAGGTGTCCCCGACGCCTTCGCTTCGCTCGCAGCATCTTCGTCTCGGATAACAGGCCGCCCTTGAAGTGACGAGTTTTCGTTTTGCAGCATATGTACTTCTTTTCCCAGCGAATCGAACTTATCGGCGAGTTGTTGAAGCTGGGCCTGCAGCGTCGTCATTGTAAGCGCCTTAGCTTGCAACTCGTCAAACTCCTCCTTAGTCACGTTCCTAACCAGGCCCTAGGATTGGTTTTGGGTCACGCAGATTCATCATCCTTGCCTCCTGTATTTAGGCTGATTTTTCAGCCTTGTCCTTGCTAAAAAGGCTGAGATTTTACAGCGTTAAAAAAAAAAAAATAAAAAAAATCGCTGATCAATCAGCGTTAGTTATGAAAAATAATCGGATGCATATATGAGTGATTCTTCAGGAACTTGCGTCGACTTTTGATAACGAGGCTAAAGATTGCCTAAAGCACTTGAAACGCCCGAGATTGGCTGGCGGAATAGTAATTTTCAGTCCACACCAATCGCATCTAAGGGCGTGATCCTACGCGACAAGATGCCAGGCAACTTCGTGTCAGTGGAGATTTTGCTCGTTAAATTTGCCTGTCAATCACATTTTGACACGAAATATCATTACATTTTTTCACGTAGATACACATCCTGAGAAGCCCAGGTATTTTCGTGCTAGCGTGACTCGCGCAAGGGTCTGGGAGGCATGTGTCTGGTCCAGGGCTTATGCTAACAGGGTAAGTGTCCATTTTTTACTGATTTTCAAGGCAGATTTCAGATGGACATTGTAGCTCAAAGGGTCCGGTGAAAACCCTCCCGTAAAGTTCAGGGCTGATTTTGGCGCCACCCTTTCTGTACGGAGAGTTTTCGGGGGTACCCATTTGTTTTAAACTCCAACCCCCCTCCCCACCACCGTCCCTGCCACTCACACCTCTCCCCCTTTGGTTTGTCATTTCACACCTGTCATTTTTCCCCAATCTGTGGCGATTTTGTTGCTAACCTCTAACTCGCCCCTCTCTGTGTTGTCTCACTCCTGCGTATTCATAAAGCAATCCAATTTTCAAGCCTCGAACTTGTATCTGAGACAAAGTTGGTCTAGGCTTTCACGCCAACACTTAGGCAGAATGTCATGCCTTAGGATTTCGTTGCGCGTGTAGAAATGGAGGCCTTACTTCCTAGTAGATCCCTACCAACTGCCTCAGTGGTCGTGCAACTTCTGTATTCTGAGGAAGGTATTGCTAGAGTCGTGTGAGTGGTTTTCGTGCGAGCTCGTTTTCCTAAGGGGCGATTTTTTATGAGCCCTTATTTTAAGGGTAACTTTTGAGAGGCACCGTTTCTGAACGGGCGCCCTAAAAACCTAGCATAAAGCCCTGGTCTGGTCTGGTCTGGTCTGGTTTCTGATAGGTTGTTCAAGGCTAGTGGGAGGAAAGTTTGAGGGGTGTTACTGGTTTCTATGGACTTCAACGAATTCTCCTGGGTTGCGGGGATTACGAGAGGGGTGTGAGTGACTGGTTTCCGAGGACTTCAATCAAATTCTTATGGATTGCGGAGGGTATGAGTGAGGTATGACTTCGACAAGTTCTCAGTTGCCGAGGGTATGAGAGGGGTGTGACTGGTTTTTGAGGACTTCGATAAAATCGTTTAGGTTGCCGAGGGTATGAGTGGGGTGTGACTAGTTTTCAAGGACTTTGAGAAAAACTTGAGGGGTATGTGTGACGAGATGCGGTAATCTCGGGGGGACGCAAATCTCGCTGTACTCGGTTTCAGACTCCCCCCCAGACATCACTACAACAAAAGGGTTGAATTTGTCAGCCTTGCCTATCTAAAAAAGTCTTACAGTTCAGCATAGGTACAAAAAAAAAGGGTGAAAAAAGGCTGAATCTGCGTAAAAAGGCTGATATCTGGGGGCCTGTTCCTAACACTACGACGAGCAGAGGTTTCTGGCGTGTTAGGCATGCTGGAAATTTTACCTGACAGATCTGCGGGTGCACACGCTTCTAGTTGGAGGAGCTTTAACGAGCTCACCTACCAACCGCTCGCCAACCCTCTAGTCTGTCGGGTCCTCTCCCAATATAAACGGACTACTCTATGGAACAAGGCTCTAATACCAGCAGTTATGAATTAACCAGCGTAATAACAGGTAGTGTAATAAAGGGACCATGATTCAGGATTGTCGATACTAGGCATTTATAGGCACGCACTGGGCTAGCCGAGAACCACGCGAACAGGTTGGGGCGGTTCGGTTGGGAAAGCTACGGAAGCGCCGCGTGTCGAGGTTTGGGTTCGCAAAGTGGTTCGGGACCGAAGAAGTTGGCCGAGCCTGGACTTCCGAGAGTCGAGGGCGTACGCGCTGTAGTCGAGCCCAGTAAGGAAAAGGGGATTTCTTTACATAAACCGCAACAAGGTTACAACCTAAAAGATGAAAAGTATGTTAGGAGCTAAGGAGCTAGGTAGGTAGCCATGAGAAAAGCCGAGAGGTTTAGCTAGGGGGGAGAGTTACGAGAGAAAAGAGGGTCGACTAGGAAGAGGAAGAGATACAATAAGGGGGGGCTGTCCCCTCTACAGTAGGATCCGGTAATTGTAGCACACCTATCAAGCCTACACAAACATATTATATAAAATATAATGTGACACACCCCCTAGGCTTGGTAGTTGCAAGCCCACCCAACACGCCACACCCCCAAGCCCGTGCACCCCCATGTCTTGCAGCAGGTGTGGCTTCTACCCCTCGTGCGAAGCGGCGACAGTGGCGGCGGGTGGCAGCAACGGCGGCTTCTACGACGACAACAGCGGCGGCAGCGGTGGCGGCGGTGGCGGCGGTGGCTTCGACGATGGCGGCGGCGACTGCAAAGCTCGCGGCACCCGGTGGCGCGGCACGGCCCGTCCACGACCAGGTATTGAGTTAGCAGCTGCGGCTGGAGTAAGGGGAGATGCAGGGGGAGGGGGGGGGGGTGTGCTTCAGCAAGGCGCCTATGGCTGGCGCACTGGCTGGCATGCGGGCATCATGGCTGGCGCCTAAAACGGTGCGCGGCCCGCTGCTGCCCGTGCACTGGAACGTCGACGCCGCCACGGCTGCACGACGACGCGGCGGCACGGCGACACAGCGGCACCGCGGCTCGACGGGAGGGCGGGACGGCGACATGGCGACACAGCGGAACGGCGGTACCGCGGCACGGCGGCATGGCGACATGACGACGCCGCCACGGCGTAGCGTCGACACCACGGCAGCGCGTCGGGGCTGCCACGGAAGCGCATAAAGGCCGCCGTGGCAGCAGAACGTGGCCGCCACGGTGGCGAGTAAGAGACGGAAGGGGCGAGAGGACGCTGCGGAAGCATGGTGATAAGACTCAGCAGGATAGGCCCGCTCTGATACCATGTTAGGAGCTAAGGAGCTAGGTAGGTAGCCATGAGAAAAGTCAAGAGGTTTAGCTAGGGGGGAGAGTTACGAGAGGAAGAGGGTCGACTAGGAAGAGGAAGAAATACAAGAACGGGGGGGTTGTCCCCTCAACAGTAGGATCTGGTAATTGTAGCACACCTAGCAAGCCTACACAAACATATTATATAAAATATAATGTGACAAAGTATGCATGAGGTATTATTCTGGTCCACTACAACACCCCTGGTAATGGAGCATACAGAAGGAGCCTCGTTGTCTTGATATGAGGCACACATGCACCGCTTTTCTGCACTGCTGGTGATTGCTGGGACAGCTGGAAGGAACCATGTACTGAACACATTCACACCATTCAGCTTAGCTCAGGGCATCCAACCTTCAGCACACACCAATGGCCGTCCCATCACTCCCCCGTTCCTCACCACCAATGCCCTTCCTGCCACAAGCACTGTGCAGGGACATGCTCACGCGGTGCTGACGTGGCAGGCCTGGCACTCGGGAGAGCCGGTATGGCACACGGGGACTTGGCAAGAATGCTGCAGCCTCTAAGCCTCCCAGGCTCCCATCCTCCGAGCCTGCAACCATCCCTGCCTCTAAGCCTGCCTTACTCCCCTCCACTGACCCTTCGTCCATTACATCTTCTGCTTCATCTCCACCCTAAGCAGTCTCACCTTTGTACTCATCACAAGCTGCTTCGTTTACAGCAGTAAGCTCGCCCCTGTGCATGTTGTTAGCAGTACGACGGCCACGGAGTATAATCTCCTCATCAGCAATTTCTGGTTCTGGAGGGTCACGGTTCTGGTTGGTACTGCTCTCTGTACTGCTCTCTGTACTGCTCTCAGTGCGCTCAGCACTCGGAAATCCAGAGATCTCAACCCCAACACCATCTGCAACCGCAGCACCCCCTGCATCATCTGCACCTGCAGCACTCTCCGCATTTTCAGCACTCGCAGCAGCTTTGTCTGGATCCACACTGGATGGAGCACTGGCAGCAGGGACTGCAGGAGAAGCAGCAGCCTCGGTATCAGCCTCGGTAGCAGCCTCGGTATCAGCAGCCTTGGAAGCAGCAGCCTCGGTAGCAGCCCCGGAAGCACCAGCATCGGCAGCAGCTCCACTGACCCCCTTCTGCTCACTCTGCTCTATCTCCCCAAGAGGTGGCCGCCACACTATGCCTCCTACAAGCAAGCCTGGAGCGATGGCTCCCGCAACGGACTTCTGAGCTTCTGCGTCCAACCGAGGTAGGCCGCTCTCGTCATGCAACCCAAGCACCCCAGACGTGCTTGACGCATGTGCATCTCCCAACTGCTGCTGCTGCTGCTGCTCAGAAGCATTCTCGTTTGAACCAGCCTCAACTACCAGTGACAGCACAGCTACGCTAGGAGCCGTGTCGCCATCCACAGCAAAGCAAGCAAACCGATTGAACACACCCTCGGACATGGTGTCGAGAGTCGTGCCTGAGCTGTCTCCGCTGTTCCTCCTGCTGCTGCACTGTGCCCGCCACATCTGCGGTTTCAGCTCCACCCATGAGTCGCACTGTAACGAGGCGGCTTGTAACCCGGATTCAGGGTACGCAACCAGCAAGTTGATGGCTGACGGTTTCTGGGAGAGGCCTATAACGCGGATGTCATAGTTAAGCACCACATGACCATCCCTGATAAGGAAAGGCGACAATAGAAGAACGAGAATAAAAGTGAGGGTACAATTGCATGAGGTGGGGAAGGGAACACTGGCAGTGTCACATGCATCTTGACAGTGTCACATGCATCTTGGCAGTGTCACATGCATCTTGGCAGTGTCACATGCATCTTGGCAGTGTCACATGCATCTTGACAGTGTCACATGCATCTTGACAGTGTCACATGCATCTTGACAGTGTCACATGCATCTTGACAGTGTCACATGCATCCTGACAGTGTCACATGCATCTTGACAGTGTCACATGCATCCTGACAGTGTCACATGCATCTTGACAGTGTCACATGCATCTTGACAGTGTCACATGCATCTTGACAGTGTCACATGCATCTTGACAGTGTCACATGCATCCTGACAGTGTCACATGCATTTTAACAGTGTTGTACAGCATGAACGCCCTCCTGCATCTGCATGTGCATGTCCCCCCCTCCCGCAAGTGCCCCTCCCCAATGTGCCTCCGCGATGTGCCCCTCCGCGCATGTGCCCCTTTCCGCATGCGCCTCTCTCACATCTGTCCTCGCACCCTCTCGCAATCAGGATCATCCAACTTGAAAGCTGCCAGTGTGAATGCCACTCCCTGGAGATTCTCTGCTCCCAGCCGTCCTCTGAGCAGGAAACAAAATCCATTCTGCTACATCATCGGTTTCATAATCAGCCTCTTACTTGAAAGCTGTCAGCATGAATGCCCCTCCCAGCAAAATCTCTTCTCACAGCTGCCAGAATGTATGCCCCTCCCTGAAAAACCATTCTGCTACATCAGCGGTTTCATAATCAGCCTCTTACTTGAAAGCCGCCAGCATGAATGCCCCTCCCTGAAGACTCTCCTCTCCCAGCCGTCCTTTCAGCCGCACCTCCAAGCGCGGGTCCTGTTGGGGATACCGCGGAATGATGATGCCTGAGGTGGGGCGTGGCCGGGGGCGAGGGAGGGGAAGAGAGCTGGCAGCATAAACGCCCCTCCCTGCATGTTCCCTGGTAGCCCTACCCCAGCCGTCCTTCCAGCCGCACCTCCAAGCGACGGTCCTGGGGCGAATACCACGGAAAGACGACGTCTGACGTGGGGGTGGGACAGGGTGCATGTTGAGTGGTGGGACAAGATGACGTCTGTCACAAGATGACGTCTGTCACAAGATGACGTCTGTCACAAGATGACGTCTGTCACAAGGTGCCGTCTGTCACAAGGTGCCGTCTGTCACAAGGTGCCGTCTGTCACAAGGTGCCGTCTGTCACAAGGTGCCGTCTGTCACAAGGTGCCGTCTGTCACAAGGTGCCGTCTGTCACAAGGTGCCGTCTGTCACAAGGTGCCGTCTGTCACAAGGTGCCGTCTGTCACAAGGTGCCGTCTGTCACAAGGTGCCGTCTGTCACAAGGTGCCGTCTGTCACAAGGTGCCGTCTGTCACAAGGTGCCGTCTGTCACAAGGTGCCGTCTGTCACAAGGTGACGTCTGTCACAAGGTGACTCAGAAGTCACCTTGTGATGGGAGGCGGGACAAAGGCCAGAGAGAGGCGGTCAGGAAACCAGGGGAGATTGGTTCTGAGAAAGAGGCGCAAGCCAGAAAGTGCATTTCGTAACGGGGGGGAAAAACAGGGAAGAAAATTGGATGAAGAGTGAAAGAGAGGGAAGAGAGGGAAGAGAGGGAAGAGAGGGAAGAGAGGGAAGAGAGGGAAGAGAGGGAAGAGAGGGAAGAGAGGGAAGAGAGGGAAGGGAGGGAAGTAAGACATGGCCCCATGGGAAAGGGATAAAATGCCGAAGGGTAAGAGAGGAATGTCTTCACCAGAACGGCTTCATGACAACGAGATTTAAAATACGAATAAAATGGAACATACAATGTTTACAGAATATAAGATAAAGGGATTGTAAACGGGGCGCCTGTCTCAGCTCTTACCGCTGCTGCACTCGCGGCTTCTCTGCAGCTCTCCAGCCAACTCAACTCGTGCCTCCTCTCCCTCTCCACCAACCACCACCAGCACGCCTTGAGTCGACTCTGAAATCACGCGCACGCCAAACCCTATCAACCTCCCATTCTCCTCCCCCCGCGCAGTTAACATCTCTTCCAGTCCCTTGACCTGCTGTGCCTCCACTCCCCCTCTCTCCCTGCTCTTCCCCGCCACCTCCCACACAGACGGCGTCGTCGCGACCCACTGGCAGCCCGTGTAGGCTGGGCACAGGGCCAATGGCGGCGCGCCACGTGGCAGCGTGAGGAGAAGGTCGCCGGGAGGGGATTCGGCTCCTGCGATGGCGACACTGAAGCCGATGGTGTAGGCTGGGGTGGGGCCACGAGATATGGACCTGCGCAGTAAGGGGTGGTGGTGGGGAGGGGGGGGAGGAAGAGATGGCGAAGAGAGGAGGAAGACAGTGGTTGGGAGCGTGAGGAGGAGTAAGTTGCTGGGAGGGGGGTCGGCACCTGCGATGGCGGCACCAAATCGGATGGTGTAGGCTGGGGCTGTAACTCGAGATATGGCCCTGGGGGCGGGAGGAGGGTGGAGGAGGGGAGAGGAGGAAGGGATTGGGGGTGGAAGTGGTGATGGAAGAAGCGAGAATCTGGGAACAGGTTTGAAAGGGGTGCAACGAGTGTGTGTGTGTGTGTGTGTGTGTGTGTGTGTGTGTGTGTGTGTGTGTGTGTGTGTGTGCGAGAGGAGGGAGGGAGGGAGAAAGGGAGGGATGGCGTGAAGGACGCACGGATGGAGAGAGGGCGACGGTGAAGCAGCGAGATATGGACTACACGGTGCAGAGGATGCCAAGACTGAGGCCGACATGTACCTTGAAACGGATATACTTATAGTGCCTCTCATTCCACCACGGTGTGTGCGCAGCTGGGCGGCGAAATGAACTGGTAGGGGTTGACAATGGGAGCGGAGCGAAGGGGGGAGGAGCGAGGGGGGGAGGAGCGAGGGGGGAGGAGCGAGGGGGGGAGGAGCGAGGGGGGGATGAGCGAGAGGGAGAGGAGCGAGAGGGAGAGGAGCGCGAGGGAGAGGAGCGAGGGGGGGAGGAGCGAGGGGGGGAGGAGCGAGGGGGAGAGGAGCGAGGGGGAGAGGAGCGAGGGGGGGAGGAGCGAGGGGGGAGGAGCGAGGGGGAGAGGAGCGAGGGGGAGAGGAGCGAGGGGGAGAGGAGCGAGGGGGAGAGGAGCGAGGGGGAGAGGAGCGAGGGGGAGAGGAGCGAGGGGGAGAGGAGCGAGGGGGGGAGGAGCGAGGGGGGAGGAGCGAAGTGGGGAGGAGCGAGGGGGAGAGGAGCGAAGGGGGGAGGAGCGAGGGAGAGAGGAGCAAGGGGGGGAGGAGCGAAGGGGGGAAGGATTAGGACGCCTTCCACGGTGTGGCAGGAGCTGGGCGGCGAAGTGAGCAGGTAGGCCCAACACGGCGAGGTGAGAGGCGACGAGAGAAGAGGCGACGAGAGGAGAGGAGAGTTGAAAGAAAAGTCGTGAAAGGTTGGAAGGGAAACCGACGCAGAGGTCAGCAGTAGCAGAAACAGGGTCGTGGGGGCTGCAAGCGTCAGACCTCCGAAGAGGTCAGCTGCGGAAAGGCAGTAGCTCTCTCACCTTCTCCCGTGCTGCTGGCAAGCGCGGCTGACGGCAAGAGAAGAACGAGAAGAGCTGCAGGAGAAACGACGTCAGAGGAGAGAAGAAGACAGAGCAGCAATCAGGGAGACAGGGCAGGGAGGAAAGGCAGGTAATCAGGGAGAGGAGGACAGTGGGTTGGGGATGCAGTGAGAGAGGGGTGCAGTGAGAGAGGGGTGCAGTGAGAGAGGGGTGCAGTGAGAGAGGGGTGCAGTGGAGCGTGCAGAGACGGGTGAAGCGGTGTAAGAATTATGTAAGCCAACGGTCCCTGCTTAGTCATCCCAGGTTTGTTCTGCTCGGGGGGGCGGGCGGGAAGGGGGGCCTACCGACGGCAGCGATTGGCGCTCGGGCTAGAGAGGAGCATTGACCCCCACGAGAAACAGCCATTGTGCTTCGCTCGGTAAGCAAGGAGGTACTAGCGGGCAGCAGGAGCTCGATCACAGTCCACCAATGTGTTTGCTTGCTAGCACGATTGCCAGGCGAGCTCCCGGGATCTCAAGCGCCAAAAAATCCTCCAGTTGTGCACCAAGAGGGAGCGAGGAGTCACTATTCGTGCGACGGTGCGATGAATTTTGAGAATTCTTTTAAAGATAAAAAAAATCGGATGAATTACAAGCGCCTCCGTGCGTGAATATTGGCCTGGTGCTTTCTTGAAGCGCAGGTAATGGATAGACGCAGGCGAGAGATGATCTGACGCGGCTGTACGCGGGAATAGCTTCGACGACGAAGCCTTTAGACCCCTGCAAGGCAAGCTACCACATGAACGCTTTCCTGCGTTTGAGTCGACTCAAAAGCATCTGATGCGGCTGTCGACTTCCATAGCTTCGCCATGTCTCAATCTACCATAGGAACGCTTTCCTGCGACGAGCACGCGGGACCCACCGCAAGGTCGCATCGCACGCCGTCGTCGCCGTGCAGTCCCTTTCCGTCACGTTCCATTGCGTTCCGTCGCGTTCCGTCGCAATCTCTCGCTGAAACCCAGCCATGCTTTTCGGCAGAGCATGGTGTGTCCAGTGGGAAGGGTATCTCATTGCATCATGCATCATTGCACTAGACGATATCGCCGCCCCCCTTGCAGCAGTAGGAGAGCGGCGCTGCGCGGTGAGGCGCGTTACACGGGAGCACCGGCCGCATTAGAAGCTCCTGCCCGCAGTAGCAGTCACCGTCTCGCCTACGTGTTTCTCGCAAGCAGAGTGTCGGACCGCGAGGGATGCAAAGACATACGCGCGACATGCGCTTCCCATGAGACCCACAAACCCATCCTCTGTCACCCACTATGCGGCGGCGAGTCCCGTATGTCGCACAAAAATCCCTAGGCGTATGCGACAGCTGTGCGAAAACTGTCATTATGGTCGTCATCCCCTGACAACCATAGCCTCGGTGGATTTGTACTACAGTACAAGAGAGTCGCGCACGAGAGCTCGCCGCCACCCAGCCAGCCTACCATAAGCTGCTTTCGTCAGAGCTTGTGTTGCCAGGGCCAGACTTGTGTCACCAGCTCGCGTGGCGGTGGGAGGGGAGCTGGAGCGACGATTTCTATGATTCTGGCGGGCTGGCGAAGGTTGGCGATTGAGCAAAGTACAGTAGTTGGGAGATTTTGGCTCTGCGTAACAAAAATGCTCAGGCTAAAGATCTATCCGGTATCATGTATATTTATCCTACTAGTATGGGGAAGACTATCCTAGCCCACCTTCAATTACAGTACTAGTCGCCAATTTATACCATTCTTTTATGTCTTCAAGTTAAATACCGACTGTTTGTAAGTTGGTCTTTATCCCAATTTCAATATTGTCCTAGTACATATGGTATTTGTGGTGCTTCCAGGCTAGGTACAACAGAGTATGGCTAAGAGCAGTAACCGTTAGTACACATACTCTGAACACATGGGGAAGCTGGGGAAGCATTGGTTGGATGGTGTCCATGTACAATTGGGATAATAACTGAATATTCACACCAAAAAAAAAGGTGAAGAATGGACCATCCTGGAAAAATAATAAATTGAATGGTTGAAACAAGAACAGAGGGTTCTTCCTCGGTCATGGCAGGAAATTTATCCATGAACCAGCTTCACTCCTCTGCCGTCAAAACCGTCTTGGTGTTGTCAGTGTTCTTGACGCTGATTGTGACCTCGTGCTTACTCACTGCAACGCCTTCATACGGATTCTGTGAGAAATCATCCACTCCGATTTCTTTCTCAGGCTCCTCGTCCACGTCCGCTTGGAAGTCTTCGCCAACAAGAGTACGAATGCCGTCGTAGTATGTACCAAAACGCGAGGGAGCGAACTTGATTCGCTTGCTGATACGTGTGGCTGCAGCATGCGGCTCCCTGCTTCGACAGGAGCTCACACCGCTATCCTTGATCCACATTCGTCGTCTTTTCCGCTTTGGCGTCTTTTCCTTGTTTTCCGAATCTTTCATGGCTGAACACCTGTCCATCGGCTCTGTACGGCAAGTGCTCATAGGAAGGCGTTGTTTTCCACCCTGGACATAAGACAGAAGACTGCGAGGGGAAATGCGGGACGCGAAACACAGAAAGAATATATCACTTATCTCGGCGAGAGCTTCTGCTTGCTAATGAATGAATGAGCGTGATTGTCTACTTTCCAGAGAGAGGAGTGGGAAAATCACGAATGGCGGGAGGAATGACAAAGCGGGTTGAGACTACCATCCGAAAAAAGTTGATTTCTTGGATGGAGTTCGTCAGGCGAAATATTCGTGCAGATGCTAGGCAGATTTATGGTGGCTGGTGTTGGATGTCGCTCAGCGAAATTCTCGAATTTGATGGTAAAAGTAACATCTCAAGATTCATATCGCGAATTTTGCTCAGGTTGGAGGAGGAACATCAAAATCCGTCGGAGATGAGGTTTGCTTCCCTGACATGCGAGATCGACGGACAGCAGTGTCCCCGATTGATCCTGCGTGGATGACACACTTCGCTAGACTTCGCAGCGATCAATCCAGCCAACGACAACCATCCCGTTGACCCTGCGCAAAGCTCGACGGCCATACCCAGCCATTATCAGTAGTTACGTACAGTAGTTGCTTCCCTTCTTGGGTAAGTAGCAACTTTCCTGCTCCAGCTCGTGACTCACGATAGTTAGCATACGAGGGTACAGCTGGAAGCAGCCTCTCTTCATCGTATCTAACGACGCTGCTAACAATTCGGCACCACCAACTTGTCCGTACCGCTGTCGCCGTTGCAAATGACGAATCGCACGCTCGAGCTTGTCGGGCCGGTAGCTCCCCAGCATCGCCTGGACGAGGCCGCCGTGCTCAGCTACCTCAAGCGCAGCGTCAGGAACGTGCCGGCGAGCGCCGACACGCTGAAGATATCGCAGGCAAGGCAACGATGTCGTTTGGTCTGTCATTTCGCCGAAATTCGCGGACGTCGTCGCTCACACGAGCTCGCATCAGCTCCGTGAAAAGCCACCCTTATTTTTTTCTTTATGAAAAGCGACAAGATAGTTATTTACTTCTTTACCTTGGGGGGTTGAAAACCATCAATATTTGCCGTTACATACCGCCTTCTACCCCCCCTTTCTCCCCTCCCCTCCCCCCCTCTCTTCTCACTCTCCGCATGGCAGTTCGGCCACGGCCAGTCCAACCCCACTTACCTCCTGGAACTTCCTTCCGCTCATGGCTCCGACCCCGTCAGATTCGTGCTCCGGAAGAAACCGCCCGGCCAGCTGCTCAAGTCCGCTCACGCCGTGGAGCGAGAATTCCAGGTAACGTGGCGCCGAAATCTCTAGTACTCAAGGCTCAATCCATCAAGGTTTGTGCTCTCAAAGAGGCCACCGTGTCTGCTGCTCACGTCGGCTCACGCCCTGGAGCGAGAATTCCAGGCAGTCTCATCATGCTGCAATACTTCCAGGTGCGGTGCGGTGATGCTGTTCCGACCGAGGCGAGCTCAGAACACGATATGTCTGTCGAATCTCGCTGTCCGTCTCCGCTAGTAGAGCTCCAGGGGTTAGCAAAGGAGGTAAACGGGGAGATGGGCTATGTAGTGAGGAGAGGGGCGGGGAGGGGGTGAGAGAGGAGCGGGGAGGGTTCTGGAAGGGCGGTTGAGAACAGTAGGAGAGGAAGATTGGGGGAATAGGCAAAGGTGGCTATCAGAGTGAGGTAAAAAGTGGCTGCTGAGGCAGGCGTAGCCTCGGTTTTAATTCTCAAATCATCTTCTATCGTTTCCAGGTAGTGGCGTTCTTCCGTTCGGTCTCCCTCGTTTTCTCCTGGTGGTTCAATCTCCTTATGTATCCCATTAGAGTAGATTCTTGAACTGACCCTCACCTATCAACATCTCTGCATGCCAAAATCATCAGATGCTGGCAGCACCTACCTGAATTCACCCTCACTTCTCAACACCCCCAGGTGCTGGCAGCGTTGGGGTCGCCTGGCCTGCTGCAGGGGCGTCAGTGCCGATGCCAGCTGTTCTCTCGTTCCCGCTGATATCTTTGTGATTTACTCCTTTTTATTAACCTCTTGCTGACATCATCAGGTGCTGGCAGCGCTGGGGTCGCCTGCTGCAGGGGCGTCAGTGCCGGTGCCAGCTGTGCACGCCCTGTGCATGGATCCCTCCGTTATAGGCACGCCCTTTTACATCATGGACTTCGTCCCTGGCCGCATCTTCACCGACCCCTGCCTTCCTGTAAGCATCTTTTGAGGCGTCTCAAAGCACGGCCTTTATACCACGGAAAACCCGGCTTTTGAGACGTCTCAAAACATGGCCGTATCTTCACAGACCCCTGCCTTCCTGTAAGCCTCTCTCCGGTCCTCTGCTGTCGCCCCATGACCTGTGCTGTCGCCCCATGACCTGTGCTGTCGCCCCATGACCTGTGCTGTCGCCCCATGCCCTGTGCTGTCGCCCCATGACCTCTGCTGTCGCCCCATGACCTGTGCTGTCGCCCCATGACCTGTGCTGTCGCCCCATGACCTGTGCTGTCGCCCCATGACCTGTGCTGTCGCCCCATGACCTGTGCTCTTGCTGCGTATAACTGGTTGTCCAGGTTTAGGGTGCTCTTTACTTCTGCATCTTCACTGGTTCATGCGTTTTCACGACCACGAGTCTCCTATTGAGGTGCGTCTAAAATAAAGCCAACGCCACGAGCCACCGCATTCTGACTGGTTCTTGCCCTCCTGCCCCCACCCTCCCTCCTGCCCCCACCCTCCCTCCTGCCCCCACCCTCCCTCCTGCCCCCACCCTCCCTCCTGTTCCCCTAACCCACCCGCCCAGGACCTGCCACCTGCCGCCCGCACTCAGATCTACTCCTCCATGGCCGGCACCCTTGCCGCCCTGCACTCAGCTCGCCTGCCCCAGCTGCAAAAGGACGGATTCGGTCGCCCGGACAGCTACTGCCGGCGGCAGGTAGAGCGGTGGGCGAAACAATACGAAGCTTCAGTGAAATGTATAGGAGCGGAATTCAGAGAGGAGGATGCGAGGATGAGGGGGCTGATCGCGTGGCTGAGGGGGAACGTGCCAGGGGAGGATGCAGCGGCCGAGGGGGCGATGAGAGGCGTGGTGCACGGGGACTTCCGCCTGGATAACCTCGTGTTCCACCCCACGGAGGTGAGTGTAGAGTTCCGGTGGCCTTGGTTTGTTTAATCGAAGCAGTGTGAGGCGTCGTTTACGCTCATAGGTGATCATTTTGTCACTTGCATGCATGCTTGATGGCACCCTCGCCTCCCAACATCGAGGTTTCTTGACCTCCCTGTCGTTCTCACCTCCCTGCATTTCTTTCGTGCCTTCCATTGCTCCTGCCTTGTCGCGTGTGGTTTGTAGCTGTGCTTGATTGGGAGCTTTCCACTATTGGCAACCAGATTTTTGATGTCGCTTATGTGCTCTGAGGTCTAAACACTCTCTCTTGATTGCTTCGTTCTCTTTTGTGCTGTTATCTTTGTGCTGTTGCATGTTTCTCATGCAGCCACGTGTGGTGGCGGTGCTTGATTGGGAGCTCTCCACCCTTGGGAATCAGATGTCTGACGTCGCTTACTGCTGCCTGGTGAGTTACGCTTGTGTTGTGTGCACCCTGTGTGTGTGCGCACGCTCACGCGCTGTGTGCATTGCCTCCACCTCCAGCTGCAACCTGTTTGGCATACAGTCTCCAAGGCTGCTCACTGCGTGTAGCCCTCTGTACACCCCTTGCTCGTTTGTTGCAGTCACGCTTTTAATCGTGGCACCCTCACCATCATATCATGCCCTGCACTCATGCCCTGCACCCATGCCCTGCACCCATGCCCTGCACCCATGCCCTGCACCCATGCCCTGCACCCATGCCCTGCACCCATGCCCTGCACTCATGCCCCCCCTGCACCCATGCCCTGCACTCATGCCCTGCACCCATGCCCTGCACCCATGCCCTGCACCCATGCCCTGCACCCATGCCCTGCACCCATGCCCTGCACCCATGCCCTGCACCCATGCCCTGCACCCATGCCCTGCACCCATGCCCTGCACCCATGCCCTGCACCCATGCCCTGCACCCATGCCCTGCACCCATGCCCTGCACCCATGCCCTGCACCCATGCCCTGCACCCATGCCCTGCACCCATGCCCCCCTGCCCTGCACCCATGCCCTGCACCCATGCCCTGCACCCATGCCCTGCACCCATGCCCTGCACCCATGCCCTGCGCCCACTTATGTCAGATCCTTCCCCAATCTCTCTGGTGGCTTTCGTCTCAGCCTGTTTTCTCACTCTCGCTTCTCCCGCTACATACCCAGCTGTACCACCTGCCTGCCGCATCCCAGTCAGGCTCCATGCTGCCATCTCTCGGCGTCACACAGCTGCCATCTCTCGGCGTCACACAGCTGCCCGGAGGATTGGCAGTAGGGCTCTGCCTGCCAGCAGCAACTCATCCTTTTCTTCCCCCCTTTCTCCCCATCCGTCGCCAGCCATACCACCTGCTGCCGTCCCAGCCCAGCCAGGAGCGGTGCCGCCATCTCTCTCTCGGCATTGCTCAGCTGCCCGGTGCACCATCAGCAGAGGTTCTCCCTGCGGTCACTCATCTTCTTTTCCCTCCATTTCCGTCCTCTCTCCCCTCCCCCCAGCCGTACCACCTGCCGCCATCCCAGCCGGGGGCCATGCTGCCGTCTCTCTGCGTCACACAGCTGCCCCCGGTGCACTGACTTTCACTGTCGTACCAGCAGCTCTCAGCCTTTTTTTCCTTCTCCCTTTCCCCTCGCCCCAGCCATACCACCTGCCGCCATCCCAGACCGGCGCCATGCTGCCATCTCTCGGCGTCACACAGCTGCCCGGAGGATTTCCAGTAGGGGCTCTGCCAGCAGCAAATCGTCCCTTTTCCCTCCCTCTCTCCCCTCCCCCCAGCCGTACCACCTGCCACCATCCCAGCCTGGCGCCATGCTGCCGTCTCTCGGCGTCACACAGCTGCCCGGAGGGCCTCCAGCGGGGGCTCTGCCAGCTGGCATTCCCTCAGAGGCGCAGTTCGTGCGCACATACTGCGATGAGATACAGAGGCTGCAGGTGAGACGCGCTCGTGCCTTGTACCACTCTACCTGCATGGTGTATTTGCCAAGTCTATACTGCCGGCTGGGTGCTGGCATTCCCTTCGAGGCCGAGTTAGTGCGTGCCTACTTTGATGAGATAGAGCGGCTGCAGGTGAGACCTAGAGAGTTTCTGGCTACATGAAAATACGAATCAACTTGACATCAATTGAAGGTTGTGCTGTCCTGAGTGAGTGAGTGAGTGAGTGAGTGAGTGGTATGAGCAACATTGCTGAATTCGTTTTTGGTAACCTCCAGTTCCCCAACTTTCCGTGCATTTCCTGGCCTTTCTCCTCGCCTTCACTGGTTCTTCCCTCCCCTTGCGTCCTTCGTTTCTTTGGTTACAGGGCGCCAGCCTATGGCCTGGTGACACGTGGCGCTTCTACGTGGCGCTCTCTCTCTTCCGCGGGGCTGCAATCTTCACTGGCATCTACCAACGAGCTCTGCAGGTAGTGCAACGAGCTCTGCAGGTAGTGCAACGAGCTCTGCAGGTAGTGCAACGAGCTCTGCAGGTAGTGCAACGAGCTCTGCAGGTAGTGCATGTGCAACGTGCCACATGCATGTGCAAGTCGCCGCTGTCATGGCATGAGCAGGTTGCTTGACTTGGCTCAAGAACCACGCACCCATCCCCCCCTCTCCCAGCTGTTCCCCTCAGGGCAATGCGTCATGGCGCAGGGCAGGCCAGGCGTGTCGCCAGGTGTCTGGCCTCATAGCATGTGCGCTGCACGTGCTGCACTCATCCTCCCACCCCTTATTACTCTCACCTCCCCTCTCCCGAATGTCTCCCTCAGGGCAATGCATCGTCTCGCAGGGCCGGCCAGGCGGGTCGTCAGGTGTCTGGCCTCATAGCGTGTGCGCTGCACGTGCTGCACTCGCCTCTTTCCATCCCTGCCCTGCCACCGCCGCCTGTGACCAGTATCAGAGCTTTAGGCAGTGGAATTGCAGGGGGCAGTGCAGGGGGCAGTGCAGGGGGCAGTGCAGGTTCATCCTCCTCCCTTCCAGTGGGGCTGGCGCCCAGCCCTCGAGCAGAGGCGCTGAGGAGGCAAGTGGCGGAGTTTATAGTGCAAGAGGTGCTGCCTATAGAGGGGATACTGGAGGCTCATGTGGTGGGGGAGGCACGGTGGAGCATTCACCCCGTGGTGGAGGAATTGAAGGGGAAGGCCCAGCAGGCTGGGCTGTGGAACCTATGGCTACCCGCTTTGGTGAGTTGAGAGCTCGTTATAACACATAGGAGGTGGTGTTTTTAGAGGGGATAGATGTCAGAGACCCACACACACGGTGGTTGAGGCGCAGAGGGGCACCACGGGAACGGCTGAAAGGGAAGGCCAAGCAGGCTGGGCTGTGGAACCTAAGGCTACCCGCTCTGGTGAGTTGACTGTTGAGAGGTCGTTATAGCGCAAGAGGTGGTGCTTATAGTGGGGATGGTCAATGGGAGCACACGCAGTGGGTGAGGCACGGTGGAGCATTCACCCCCTGGTGGAGGAATCGAAGGGGAAGGCCAAGCAGGCTGGGCTGTTGAATCTCTGGATACTCGCACTGGTGAGTGTGTAGCATGTGGATACCCGCACTGGTGAGTGTGTAGCATGTGGATACCCGCACTGGTGAGTGTATAGCATGTGGGAACCCACACTAGTTAGTGTATAGTATGCGTGCACTCCCTCCGTTGTGCAAGATCCCAGGAAGCATGTTCTTGCCTGCTGAGTTGTGCAACTATTTCCAAGGTACCCCATCATTCCAACACCGACCATACAATCCCCCCTTACAACCACCCCACTTTTCTCCTCTTCAATGCGCTTCCCCCTCTTCAATGCGCTTCCCCCTCTTCACCTTTCTCTTCTGTGCGGCGTGAATGTCAGAGCCGTGGGCTGCTAGGGGCGGGGTTGTCTTCCAGTTGCCGCGGATTCAACCCCGCCCCGCATTTCTAAACACCACCTCCCCTCCCTCTCGTCCCCCTCCTCCGCCCACCCATCCCAGGATGCGGGAGCGCCCCTCACCGCCGTGCTTTGTGACTTTCAGAGCCGGGAACTGCAGGGAGAAGGTCTGCCCTTCAGTTGCCTTAACATATCCCTTGCCCCCCGCATTTCCACCCCCCCTCTCAGGATGCGGGAGTGCCTCTCACCCCTGTGCGCTGTGACTGCCAGAGCCGCGGGCTGCTGGGGGCGGGCCTATCCAACCTGGACTATGGGCACGTGTGCAAGGACACCCCCTCCATCCTTCCCCCTTCCCCCCCCCCCTCCTCCCCCCAACTTTACATCGTCCCCCCCCCCTATAACCTGTCAGGATGCGGGAGTGCCTCTCACCCCTGTGCTGCTTGACTGCCAGAGCCGGGGGTTGCTGGAGGCGGGTCTGTCGAACCTGGACTACGCGCACGTGTGCAAGGACACCACCCCTTCTGCTCCCGCCACTTCCCACCATCCTCTCCCCCCTTACGCCCCATCAGGATGCGGGAGTGCCTCTCACCCCAGTGCTCAGGGAGTGTCAGAGCCGCGGGCTGCTGGGAGCGGGTCTGTCGAACCTGGACTATGCGCACGTGTGCAAGGAGATGGGGAAGAGCGTGTGGGCGCCTGAGCTCTTCAACTGCTCTGCTCCAGACACAGGCAACATGGAGGTGAGATGCGGCTCAGTGTGGTGGAATGCGGTTCAATGTGGTGAGATGGGTTCTGTGGCTCTTCTTTTTCGGCTGTCTGTACTTTGCCAACTGGGCTCTTGTTGATGTCTCTGTGCCCAACCGCACGTCTCTTATCTGTCAGCCGGACATGGGCTTGCGAGAATGCTTACCAGGCATGCCTCTGCCATGGCCCATGGCCCATGGCCCATCGCCCATGACCCATCGCCCATGACCCATGACCCATGACCAACGACCCATCATCCATGACCCATGACCCATGGCCCATGACCCATGGCCCATGACCCATCACCCATCACCCATGACCCATGACCCATGGCCCATGACCCATGACCCATGACCCATGACCCATGACCCATGACCCATCACCCATGACCCATGACCCATCACCCATGACCCATGACCCATGACCCATGACCCATGACCCATGACACATGACCCATGACATGACCCCCCATGGCCCATAGCTCTGCCAGGTCACTGACTCACTGCCATGTCTCCATGGGTGCGTCTGCATTTAATTTAACCTGTGGATCGCATACCCACACTTCATGCGTCATGCGGGTGACACTGAGAAGTTTTGATCCACTCTCGATCTCGTTCTCTGGTTCTCCTTATGGTAGGTTCTGCTGCGATATGGCAACGAGCAGCAGCAGCGGGAGTGGCTGGTGCCGTTGCTGGAGGGCAAGGTCCGCTCATGCTTTGCCATGACAGAGCCGAGAGTGGCTTCCAGCGATGCGACCAACATTGAGGCGAGGATAGAGAGGTGCGTGGGGGCAGCGGTGTAGAGATGACAAGGGGTCTCAAAACACTCTGCTGGAAGGCAAGGTCCGATCGCGTGTCGCAATGACAGAGCCTAGAGTGGCGTCCAGCGATGCGACCAACATTGAGGCGAGTATAGAGAGGTGTGTAACGAGAAGGATAGAGAGGTGCCGAATAAGTAGGATGGGCATGTGTGTTTGGAAGTGCAGTATGTGTCAGTGTGCAGTGCCTGCTAGTAGAGCGGTCAGCCTTTCGACCCATTCTAGCGACCCTCACTCCCTCCCTCTGCACTCGCCCCTGCTCCTCCCCGTCCATCCAGGGATGGCGACCACTACATTCTGAACGGCCACAAGTGGTGGGCCAGTGGGGCCAGCGATCCGCGCTGCAAGGTGGCCATTTTCATGGGCAAGCACCCGGAGAGAGCTGCTCCCTCCGGCAAGCACAATCCGCACTCCGCCCCTGCGCACAGGCAGCAGTCTATGCTGCTCGTGCCCATGGATGCCCCTGGTGTGACGGTGGTGCGCCCGCTGCTGGTGTTTGGGTACGATGACGCGCCGCACGGGCACTCGGAGGTGCTATTTGAGGGGGTCAGAGTGCCCAAGACAAGTGTTCTGCTGGGGGAAGGTCGAGGGTTCGAGATCGCTCAGGTAAGAGCAGAAGCTTCAAGGTGCACCCGCCAGCAGGTAGCATCAGCGTCAGGCACCATCCGCTGCTGGTGTTTGGGTACGACGACGCGACCCACGGGCACTCAGAGGTGCTGTTTCAGGGATTTCGGGTTACCAAGACGGGTTTGCTGGTGATTATGTACAGCGACGCTCCGCACGGGCACTCGGAGGTGCTGTTCGAGGGTGTTCGTGTGCCGATGGTGAGCGTGCTGCTCGGGGGAGGGGAGGGGTGAGGGGGTAAGGGTTCGAGATAGCTCAGGAGAGAACAGAAGTCGGTAGATGCACACCCACCCTCCCCCCTCTCTCCCCCCGCCCCAACCCCCATGGCACTAATTCCTTTGCGGTTATCAGGGTCGCTTGGGCCCCGGCCGTCTGCACCACTGCATGCGGCTGGTGGGGGCGACAGAGCGAGCCATTGAGTGCATGTTGGACCGTGCTCTCTCCCGCGTGGCGTTTGGGCGGCCGCTGGGCGGCAACGAGTCGGTGGTGCGGGATACTGCCGAATGCCGCATTACGCTGGAGGCGGCACGGCTGCTGGTGCTGCAGGCTGCTGCTGAGCTGGATGCCAGGGGCAACAAGGAGGCTCGGATTGCTATTGCCATGGCTAAGGTAAGGAATGGAGGGTGGAGGATGGGTGGTATTGTACTGCTGAGAAGTTGTGCTGCTGGTGCTGCGGGCTGCTCCTGAGCTGGACGCCAGGGGCAACAAGGAGGCATTGCTATTGTCATGGCTAAGGTGAGCGGTGCAGAGAGCACAGTGTGGCACTGGTGATGGCACTGATTATCGCAGTGGAGGGGAAGGGGAGGCGCAATGCTCTTCCCCGTGCGCCCGTCAATGCGCTCAATGCACTTTGTCAGTGCCATCACCGGTGATGGCTCTCATTCCCTCCACCTCCTTGCCGTTATACCTTTCCTCCGCTTCCCCTCATTCCCTTCCCTGATCCCCTTTTTCTCCCCTTCCATCTGTGCTGTTCAGGTGGCGGCACCCCGGGCAGCTCAAAAAGTTTTGGACCGGGCTATCCAGGTGCACGGGGGCGGGGGAGTGAGCTCAGACTTCCCCCTTGCCCGCCTGTGGGTGGCAGCTCGCACGCTGCGCATTGCGGATGGTCCAGATGAGGTGCACCTGGCGTCAATAGGAAAGAAGGAATTCAAGGATTGGAAGAGGAGGATGGGCAAGGGTGGGGTCATGGCACGGCTGTAGGAAGACGGTGCTGGGTGGATGGCAGCCCACATGCTGCGCATTGCTGATGGTGCAGACGAGGTGCACCTAGCAAAACAGCAGAAGGATTTGCCGTGGAGGTAATACTCCTGTTCATCGTTCAAACATAGTGTTTACTTAGCACTGATTGTGGTCAAACTGCTTTTGGGTTGCGGAGCAACCTATTGCAATCGATCGGACCGATTTTTATTTTTATTTTCGAAGTTTCAGTTCTAAGAAATATTTGTTAAAATTATATATTTAGTTATATAATTGTTAGGCTTGGTAGGTTACCGAACTTTACTGTAGAGGGTACAATCCCCTCCTTGTATGCCTCTCTTTCTATTCCAACCCCCTGTTTCTCTCCTCAACTTTTCTCCTTCCTAAACCTCACGCCACTCCATGGCTCCTCCTCGCTAAACCTCATGCCTTTCCTAGCTTCCTAGCTAAGCTAGCCTTTTAACATGGTACTAGAGCAGGAGTTCCTCCCTGCTGGACCGCCTCCTCACGCTTCCGCCGCATACTCCTTGCCCTCGTTCGCTCGCGCGGCCATGGCGGCCGCGTTGTGCTGCAGTGGCGGCGTCGTGATGCCGCTGGCCGCGTCGTGCCGCTGCCGTCTCGACGCGCTGCCGTGGCGTCAGGCCGCGTGCTGCCGTCGTAGCGTCGACGTCCCCCAGCAGCGTCGACGCCGCTCTGTGACGGCGGCGTCGGGCTGCAACCGGCCGCGCGACGCCTGTGGCGCCGCTAAACTGCCCACCCGCACGCCAGCCGGCCGCGCGACGCCTGTGGCGCCGCCCTGAAGATCCGAAGCCCCGCCCCTTCCCCCTTTCCTCTATCCCCTCCTCTTCGCCACAGCCGCCGCCTGACTCTCGCCGGTCGTCCCCCTGTCGCGGAGTTTGGACACGCCGCCGCAAGGGCGGGGGCCGCTGCACTCACCGCCGTCGTAAGCCGAAGCCGTCGCCGTCGCCGCTGTCGCCGCCGCAGGCCTTTTGCCGCCGCACGCCCGTCGTCGCCGTCGCTGTCGCCACGGCCGGGACTGCCGCCGTCGCCATCTCCAAGGCCTTGTGGGCCCTGTTGGAGTCGTCACAATCTGTAGAACACCTACCATGCCTACACCAAATATATATATATAATATAATTTGACACACCCCCTAGGCTTGGTAGTCGCAAGCCCACCCCACACGCAACACCCCCAAGCCCTTGCACCCCCATGTCCTACAGCAAGTGTGGCTTCTACACCTCGTGCAAAGCGGCGACATCGGCGGCGGCTGGCAGCAACGGCGTCAGCGGCGGCTTCTACGACGACGACAACGGAGGCGGCTGCGACTGTGAAGCTCGCGGCACCCGGCGGCGTGGCACGGCCCGGCGATGACTGGGTATTGAGCCATCAGCTGCGGCTGGAGTAAGGGGAGACGCAGGGGAGGGGCGTGTAGCGTGCTTCAGCAAGGCGCCCGTGGCTGGCGCTCTGGCTGACGCCTAAAATGGTGCGCTGGCCGCTAACGTCCGTGCGCTAATGCGTCGAAGCAGCCATGGCAGCACGACGAAGCCGCCATGGCGTGGCGTCGACGCCACGGCAGCGCGTTGAGGCCGCCTCAGCAGCGCTTCGAGGCCAGGGCTGATTTTATCATACTATTTTAGTCTGATTGTCTGAAATTTCAGACCAATTTTTTAGCCAATCCTGATTTTTCAGACTTGCCATTTTCTGAATGCTGAACCCTTCAGAATTATATGTTTTGAATGCTGAGAATCTCAGACTTCGTAGTTTGCGGATACTGAGTTTTCAGAGCGCAGCGCGTACAGACCCTGAGACAGACATACCGGTACTGCACCTACATGCCCTCAACCAAAAAAATCGTCCAAGTCCCTAACGGCCAGAGTCAAGTCCTTTCACACACACCCCGCCCCGCAACCAATAAAATCCGGCCACGTCCTAGCAGCCAGAGATAGTTCCCCCTAGCACAATCAGCAGCCCATGAGAATCGTTGATTTTTTTTTCTAGAGACACCCTTCTCACACCCCCAACACCCATAAGAACAGGGTTTGAACCCGGATTCTGACGAGTGGCTTTTGGCAGAACTGGCTGTGAAACCCAGAATTGACGGGTGAATTTTGACACAACAGGGTACTGAACACGGATTCTTACGGGTAGCTTTGGCCAGATACCCGGATCTGACCGGTGCCCCAAAAACCAAACGTAAGCCCTGCTCGTCACAACAAGCTGGGCCTCGCAAGCACCTCGCAATATGGGCGCGAATACCCCTCGCATTGAGAAAGTTTCTTCAATAGAATGAACCATCCCCCGCGAAGTTTCATACTATCGTCAACATACTTACACACTCGGGTGTGGAGAAAAACAGGTGTTGGGGTCCCACCCCACCTAGAGCCGCGTCAGACTTCGAAAGAGGCCGCGAGGGTTTAGGCTCCGTCAATCTAGTCATTTATGTGAAATCCTGTCTTACTGCCCCATTTTTTCGCCAGCTAAGAAACAACGAGTTCTCTACCCAGTAGCGTGTGAACTCTGAAAATACAAGCTTTCGACTAGGGTGCAGGACTCTTAGTTGACATTATGAATCCTGAGTATTTCAGCCTCGTTGGCTCTTCGACACTGAGATTTTAGAGCAGCGAAAATTTAAAAAATGACCCTTCAGACTCGAGAACTTTTTTGGGGGGCAAAATCAGAGTGCCTTTTTTTTAAACGTCAGCCCTGATCGAGGCTGCCATGGCAGCACGACGTGGCCGCCACGGCGGTGCAAAAGTGGCGAGAGGGGAGAGAGTACGTTGCGGAAGCGTGATGAGGAGGCTCAGCAGGATTAGCCTGCTTTGATTCCATGTTCGGAGAGCTAAGGGTTTAGGCTATGTAGAGAGAGAAGTTGGCGAGAGAAAAGAGTATCGACAAGGAAGAGAGAGAGATACAAGAAGGGGGGTTGTCATCTCTATTCTAGGATTCACAATCTGTAGAACACCTACCAAGCCTACACCAAATATATATATATAATTTAACAATACGTATGTATAACTGTTACACTATCATGTTTGAACGAAAGCACTGATGGGAAATAGAAGTTAATCCCTCTGTTCCCCATCATGTCTCATGGCATATTTTTGTCGAGACAAAAATAAGCTATCACTTCCCCAACTAAGTGGGGGAACCAAAAAGCCTAGTTCATCAAAACAAAATTAGGCTATCGCTTTCCCGGGGAAGCTTCAAGCCTAATTGCCAACAATGAAGTACAAACAAAAAGCAACACAATTTGTGAGTTCAAAAAAATGGTTTGTCTCAGAATAACGCAATGAACTAGAATGAGTGATACAGGGTGGTTTTGTCCTAAGGTGTTGTACTCTCTATGAGCATGCACCTATCTAGCCTATAACATATACAAATATATGTTGACACACCCCCTAGGCTAGACAAGGGGCAACGACTAGCAAAAGACACGCAGCTCAGGGTGGCACTATTAGTCCAATCACCGAGGCAAGGATCTGAAGACCAGTCAGCAAGAGTACAAGCGAGACAAGAGCAACACAGGGCGGCACTACTAGTCCAGCCACTGGAACAGGAGCCACAAGGCCAGTCAAGATAATATAAAAAGTAGTACACAATTAGGGTCCTAGCAAGTGAGGAGCTACTGGAACTAGACCAAGCTGAACACAGCGTCGCTAATGATCTTTAGGTGCAAGCAGTCAGAAAGTCACCAGTCCTAACCATTGGGACAAGAAGGGATGTCATCAGGAGGGTTAGGCTCCATATATCCACCTTCCCCGGGGAAACCCTCCCCAGTACCGTAATTCCCCAGATATAGGCGCATCCCTTTATTTAGCCCAATGCGCTTATGGAGTGCAAGTGCGCCTATATCCGTTATTCGATTACAAGCGCACCCCCTTTTTTTGAAATGTATTTCCTTTAAGCGCATCTGAGTTATAAGCGCACCCGTATTTCCTATAAGCACATCATTCATCAAGTAACATAAGGTACAATACTCTACTAGTTAGAAGTTAGATGGTACGAGACAATAATAATACTACTCCTAAACTAATCCAACCTTAGCTGTGCTAACCTAGACACTCTACACCTACTCAGGGGCTGCAACATCATCCGAATCAGAGTCGCCCTTAGGAACGGTCTCTTTGCCCCCATAAAAGCCATCTGCAGCTATCTCATCATCACACTCCACCTCTGTCTCTTCGGTAGATCTCCTGTGGGCCATGCAGAGGTGATCCTCATTGCCATCTAGAGCATTGCTGATGCCACACGTCAAGAAGGCCTTCAGGATGAGCTCTGCAGGGACAGCATTCCAAGCCTTCGCCACCCACTTGAGAGTTATCTCAGGTGGGGGCTTCTTCATATTCCCTACACACGTAAACAACCACCACAGTACCGTAGTTAGACATTATACAAGAATAAGAAACCTGACTCTTACACAACAAAATATGAGAACCCACCCTTCGCCGTGACGAGGTTACAACCCTCTAGCTGAAACCACTCTTGGTACTGCTGCCGTACATTTGCCTTGAACGACCGGATCACTGAGACATCGAGGGGTTGCACCTCAGATGTGCAGCCTGCAGGGATGACGCCAGGGACAATATTCAGCTAAGCATACTTGTCCTTGACGTCCTTAGTCAAGTGGCCGCGACACGAGTCGAGAATAAGAAGGGCCAAACGCGCGTGCATGCCAAACCGCGGCTGGATGAAGGGTTTGACCGTCTCCTCGAGCCACTCCAGTACGCCATCCGCATCCATCCAGCCGTTCGGTTGGGCGGCAATCCTGACCTCTGCAGCAGATGGGAAAAAACAAGAACAAAGAAAGAAAGAAAGAAAAAAGGACTCAGTCATGACTAGGAGAGCCATGTGGCAATAGCAACAGGATGGAACAAAAACCGTGCTTAAAGAAAATAGCGCAAGTCCTAGTTAGCATAATCTCCTAAAGCGTCTTACGAAAAACTGACCTGACGGGAAATTTCCCTTCAGTACTGTTTGTCGCTTAAAGAATACCCACGGCTTTAACTTCTCGCCAGTCACCGTGCAGGCCAAAATGACGGTTACCCTTTCTTTTTGGTAACCAGCGTTGCGGATTGTCACCGAATTCGTGTCGATTTCGTCCACCGTGTGATCCGCCGGCATCTCCAGCCACAGTGGTGTTTGGTTGGCGTTGATGATCCACTGAAGGTCGATGTTGTAGTGTCGACGCGAGTCTCTGACAAAGCGCCAGAATTTCAGCACCTTCTTTTCGTTCTCTGTTGTAAGGAACAAGAGAAAGGAAGAGAAATCAATATAAGAAGCCAATAATTTGCATGGAAAACTGCACCATGGTAAAGGCAGTAAATGGAATACGACGGAATAGGAGCAAAAGCAAC